TAATCATTAACGTTTTATATTAAAATGATCATCATTATTATTATTATCTGCACTAATCTGCAGAAATAAATTCAACTTTACGACATATAAACATAACGACTCTAGATCCACATCAGCTGTTTGACATTATAATGTGTTTAATTCAGTTTTGTTCAAATCTCACAGAAACAAAACTTAAAACCACATCACTAATTTACATAAACTAAGTGAAGATAAAACTCCAGCTCTTGTGTCGCTGATGTGGTTCAACTTGTGTTGGATTAAAAGACATGACTCAGGTGAATACAGGTCAGTGTGACCAGATTTGTGTTTGTCAAAACCAGGACAGCGTACGGGGGGAGGGGGGCGGGGCCTCGTCATCCACATTGAGCGACTCTCACCTGGAAAAACTTTTTCCCACTGGACACAGAAACATATGTGCTGCTTTATCCACTGTGCACATGGACTCACACTTGTCCCAACGCAACGGAAAGTGTGGAATTTCTTCTACAAATCCTGGTTAAATCCACATTTGTGCTTCGGTTCGTTACAGACTGACCCACTGTTTGTGTCTCGCTCCTTCTGATGCAGAGACACATGTACACACCTGTTTAGGTCACGACACACACACATACATTCAGTTTGTCCATTCAAATGAACGGAATCCATGAAATTCTTAATGATCAATTATCGATTAATCGACTAATCATGCCCGTCCCTGGCTCTTACACAAACTAATTTAGTGAAAATATACCTAAAATACTCTTGACGATATATTGATACAGCAGCCCACAATTTCGATACTGTATCAGCACATTAAACGATACGATATATCGATATTTTGATATTTTGGCACAGCCCTCGTTTACACGATGACGTCTGAACAGAAGACGAAAAAGCGGCGTCGCATCTTCATTTTTTCCAGGAGGAAATCTGCTGCAGACGGTGACGCAAAAGTGTGTGAAGTTGGATTTTGTGTGCATGTGTCAGGTTTGTGTGTCGTGTTTGTTCGTGACGTAAACTCGTACACGACCTGAGCACATGTGACCAGAGTTTCGTGTCTTGGTCAGTGTAAACGGAAATGCTACGACGGAGAATATTCAACTTTTACACTCTGGAGGTGGTTTCAGATTTTTGCGTTTTTAAGCCCCAAAAACTGTGTCACCGTCTAAACGAAACACACTTCCTATAAAATATTTTATCGTTTTTACCCGCGAGTTCTCGTGTGAACAGGACCTGAAGCTTTTGGGCTTTGACGCGGTAATTTTTTAAAACTTCCGTGTTTCTGTGTACGAACGAAAAGTACAGACGCAAATAAATAACGTTTAAATGCTCCAGTGCCTCACGGGATCTAACGAGCGTCACACTGAAACGGTTTGACAAACGAGTACAATGTGTCTGTTCAAAAACCGAGTTCTACACGGAGAGAGTGACATTTGGCAGGAGCGTCGCCCAAACAGAAGCTGAGGGCCTCAGCGCCGACCAGATCCTCTCAAACTGAACTTCCTTCCTGGAGGAGGTCAAAGGTTAAACCACAGAGACTGAACGAGGCCCCAGATCCACCAGCTGATGGAGACAGAAGAAGCTGGCGGTGTAGAGACAGAAGCAGAAGCTGGTGGTGTAGAGACAGAAGCTGGTGGTGTAGAGACAGAAGCTGGTGGTGTAGAGACAGAGACAGAAGCTGGTGGTGTAGAGACAGAAGCTGGTGGTGTAGAGACAGAGACAGAAGCTGGTGGTGTAGAGACAGAGACAGAAGCTGGTGGTGTAGAGACAGAAGCTGGTGGTGTAGAGACAGAGAGACAGAAGCTGGTGGTGTGTAGAGACAGAGAAGCTGCTGTGGTGTAGAGACAGAAGCTGGTGGTGTAGAGACAGAAGCTGGTGGTGTAGAGACAGAAGCTGGTGGTGTAGAGACAGAAGCTGGTGGTGTAGAGACAGAGACAGAAGCTGGTGGTGTAGAGACAGAGACAGAAGCTGGTGGTGTAGAGAGACAGAGACAGAAGCTGGTGGTGTAGAGACACAAGCTGGTGGTGTAGAGACAGCGTGGTGTAGAAGCTGGTGGTGTAGAGACAGAAGCTGGCTGGTGTGTAGAGACAGAAGCTGGTGGTGTAGAGACAGAAGCTGGTGGTGTAGAGACAGAAGCTGGTGGTGTAGAGACAGAGACAGAAGCTGGTGGTGTAGAGACAGAAGCTGGTGGTGTAGAGACAGAAGCTGGTGGTGTAGAGACAGAAGCTGGTGGTGTAGAGACAGAAGCTGGTGGTGTAGAGACAGAAGCTGGTGGTGTAGAGACAGAAGCTGGTGGTGTAGAGACAGAAGCTGGTGGTGTAGAGACAGAAGCTGGTGGTGTAGAGACAGAAGCTGGTGGTGTAGAGACAGAAGCTGGTGGTGTAGAGACAGAAGCTGGTGGTGTGGAGAGGCCCCCGGTCCACGCCGTCACTTCAGCCTCGCGCCGCTGAGTTTCCCCGGGGCCCCCGCGCGCGCGCTCGGGCCCCGGGAACAGCGCAGAGGAAAAGGGAGTGTCCGACATCACAGCACTCTGCCCCACGCGCCCGCACGCCGCCATTTTCCTTTCCACGTCACAAGGAAAGGGGGGCCCCGCGTGCGTCAGCGGCACCAACACGCGCACACACACAAACACAAAAAACCCCACGCGCTGGAGTTTTCACGCCACGGACGCTTCCCCAACAATCACAGAAGCTCAGGTCGACCACTGTTCACTTTGAAAACACGGCCACGTCCACGCAAACTGCACACGAGCGCGTGTAGGCCAACGCCTTCCTCTCCAAACCCGCGCGTAACTGCAGCACGTAGACCTCACGCACGTCCTCGAGGGGAAAAAACACACACACCGCGCGTGGATCAAGAGTGATTAATCGAAAAGTATCGTCGTGGAGTGATTTGTGAACAGTGTGGACAAGCAACTTTAGAGAAACCAGGAGCTTTGGGGGAATTCGTGTCATGCACAAGCCGAGCGGGGGGAGGGGGGAGCGTGGGAGGAGGGCGGGCCGGGGACACATCCTCCCTCCGCTAATGGACGCCTCACATGTGCCCTGCGCTCTCCACGCGCCTTCCACCAGCACGAGTGACCGTTCCACGCGGTTCTGACGGCGCAAAAAAGCGGCTCGGGCACGGCGCAGTTGTGCAAAATCACGAGTGGAGTGGAGTGGGGGGGGGAGCGTGGGCGAGAACAGAGCAGAGGCGGTTTTAGGGCGCAGGAACGAGGGCGCGAGGACAGAGCAGCACACTACGCCCCTTTCATTTGACCCTAGGCTCGCAGGAGTCAGGAAATGGGTCAAAGCGAGACGATTCCCCAAAACCGGGACAGTGTGATTAAAAGACACACGCGCCGAGGCAAGAAAAAGCACAAATCACGTAAAAGGAAGCAACAACAACCAAAATGGCCTAATTAAAGTAGAGTAAAAATGTCGCCTACCTTTGACGTTTAGGCACAGAATGTTCCACATGGAGGATTTTCCCAAGAAGTTCAACTTTATCTAAGAAAAAAACACACACACAAGAGTCATGTGAGTTTCGTGCAGCGTAAGGGCTCCCACCACGTCCACGCGAACTCCAAACTCAACCGTGTACGTCACAGTGTAGCGTACGTGGCCAAGGGGATTGAAAATGTTGGCGTTTTTTTGGTTTAAATTGGTCCGAATTGGCGAAAGTGCGTGACCTACTTTTACGTAACGTTCAGAATACGGATTGTGCACGCCACCCCGGGGGGAAGGTTTGAGGTGGAGGAAGCAGGAACATGGCTGAAAAGGTTAAGAGGTGACGGGGGGGGGGACGGTGGCTCGGTGGCCTCCCTGCCCCGCGGTCAGGGCACCTGGAGGCGCGGCGCGGGGCTGGACGGGGCCCCGGACGAGGCTCTGCTCAAGTTTAGGGGGAAAGTGCTGGTTTTTTGGGAGCAGGACGGTCGGGTTTTTTGGTACAGAGCCACAGCGGGGAAGGGGGGGAGAAGCACTGGAACCCACGCGCCAGGGCTCCGCGGCGTGTGCACGAGCCGCTGCCCCCCGCTCGCTCCACGTACGCGTCCTCCACCGGGAAACTAAGTGCAATCAAGTCAAATTAGGACTCGGTTTGTGCCACGGAGTCAAAAGGCCAAGCGGGGGAAGCGTGTGGAGAAGTAAGTCGGCTACACCCCCCAACCACCACCTCCCCGCCGCCTGCACCAGCACATGCACGCACACACACCGCGGACGAGCCCGAACCTTTCCCCCACAAAAGCCCCGCACACTTTAACAACTCTTGCCCACCTGAGAGCACGTCGATGGCCTTCATGGCAGCCTTCTCGTCCGGGCAGTCCACGAACGCGAAGCCGGTCTTGATGAGAAAGGGCTCGTTGTAGGGGATCTTCCATTGCTCGAAGAGAGTTTCGAAGTCCTTCTCGGTCGCCTCCGCGCTCACGTTGCCGATGTAGAGCTTGTTCATGGTGTAGGCCGACGGGAGACTGACGGGAGACGGTGCGGAGCCCGGAGAGTCGCTCGCAGTCGCAGATGTGCACAGTTCGCGCGGAGTACGAGCCTCGAATCGCCCTCAGTACGACTGGAGCGGCCGTGGCGTGCTTCCCCCGAGTCACGATAGATTGAAAGTGGCAGCCTCGGTGCGTTCGCGCTCCCTCGCCCCTCGGTCACTACCGCGCAATAAATAAACGCTCAATTATTAATCTCGGGTCTCCGAACGATGGCGGGCCGTTGAAAAGGAGGAGAAACTACTTTGTGTCTTCCTCCGGAGCCCTTGGCAGAGAGACAGAGAATGCCACACACGGTAAGGCTGGCGCCCGCCTCTGAGTCTACAGCCGCGGAGGAGAGGGGAGAAAAAAAAATCCGCTGCGATTCCGGCTTTTTTGAATGAGCCACGTGTTCAAACTACAAATGAGCCCACACGTGAGGAATCCCAATTGCTCAATTAAGTGTTTGGGATTGGGGAAAAGTGCACGGGGACGCGGGGTGGGGACGCGGAGGGGAGTGGAGAGCACGAGGGACGAGTGGATTGGCGTTGGGAAAAACCTGGCGAGCGGT